AACTGAAGCCCGCGCTTGTTCCGGAAGTCGTAGATCCACTCAAGCGCCTGCGAACAGTGCGAGTCAGGGCAACGTTTGACGCTTGACGCTGGCTTGACAAACCCCTCATCTAAGAGCGAAGTGGAACCGCTGCTGGTGCCAAGCTGATCTACGTCTTCAAATTTCAAATCTCCTGATGCGCTTCACGTCAGAGCTTTCAAGAACGACAATGCTTCCCCGCCTCCCGCTCCGGAACGGTGAGGTCAGGATGCCAAAAATCCACAACCAGCACGAAACGGTCCTCAAAGCCGAGTATCTGAAAAACTTGTTTTTCCTTCTTTTGTTTTGTTTGGGGGGGGGGGGGGGGGGGGGGTGGGGAGGCCGAAGGAGGTGAGGAGAGTGGGACCCTGGTTGGGAACTTCAGTCCTCGTCTGATTCATTCTTGGTGGAGTGCATGAAGGAGGTGTCCTCGGCTATCAGTTCACCAACACCAGCACCATGGCAAAAGATGGCCAAAGCTGACTATAGAGTTTTCAAACTTTCCAAAAGAACTTCTACCCCTTTACATGAGTTTGGGCGCGGGAGGCAACCGGGTTTGGCAGAATGGCCGCTAGATACCACGACTCCATGCGGGCAACGTTCTTGACCGCCATCCCATTGAGAAGCTCCCCTCTGCAGCTGTATTCTGAAGGTTCACGCAGCGTGTGCATGTTTGGAGAACGCTTTAGGAGCTCACACAGCGTGTCAATGTTTGGAGAACGCCTGAGGATGCAGACTGCAAAGAGAGGGTCAACGCCCCTGAACTCCCTCGTCATACTACAGCTCGACTTCTTCAGTCCCTGGGACTCGCCCTCGTGCGCGTGATGGTAATAGGGGGTTTAAGGCCCAAGGGATCCTAAGGGCGTAGTGGGATGTGAGTGCCATGGGGCTTGGGAATTTCCCGCCCCTGGTGCGAGCACAGCGGCTAGGATGATGCAGTCATCTTCCTTCCAGGGCCGCTCCTCACCTCGGACGCAAGGGCGGCTGCCGTAATGTGCTTGAGCTTCTTTTCCCGGATTGCAGGGTTGCCAACGGGAGAGGCTGACAGGGCCAGAAGAAGCAGAAGAAGCAGAAGCGACAAGGCTGGAGATGTGCTAGACTAGAATCGGATATAGATGAATGTATGTATACATTTCTTGAATTAGTGCCGCTGCTTTGTTTGGATTTTTGGTCTGCAGACCTACAAACCCTGAACGGGCAACCTACAAGCCAGAACCCAACGTGGCCTCGGCTGGAATGTTGGCCCAATCTGAACATGTTTAAGCCGCTTGGCAAACTTGAGTCCAGGATGCGGAAACGACAGTGTGGATCCTCATTAGCCCTTGGCAAATTGAACGTAAGCGCGGCGACCGCAACTCATCAGAGTGCCACATCCCTGAACTCGGCGAACTCGGCCAGCTGGGCAGGCGGCCGCCGACCGTGATGCTGCAATCCGGGGGAACCTCAAGGCCACGGCCAGGCTACAGAGGATACCTCTTGTGTTTCATGGCTTCATGTGATGCGGAGCAGGATTTGCTACTGTCGAGGGCTTTTTGGGGCCGTCTCAGGTTTGCGAGAGCTGTTGTGGAGAGTAAGCCTGATGGAACGGAGGAATGGAAAGTGGCTCGCCTGGCTTAAGAAGCTCATTTGCTTTCGCCTGCTGAGTGGGACCTACCGGAACAGAGTGCTCCCGAAACGCCAGTGAAGGCAGCGGAGGCTGCTCAAAGCCTGCTGGAGCTGGGCATCCCGACACTCAGCCCGAAGTGGGCTGTGAGAAAGAAGTTTCTACCTCGGAAAGGAGTTGCATCAGTGCATCTGGTTGGAAGTGCTTTTGGGAGAGCTAAGCTCACAGGTCCCAAACATGTCAAAGGATGTGTCGAATCATTCTGCGCAGCTGCGCAGTGAAGGAACCCGACCCAAGAGTCCTCCTAAGGCACAAGACAGGGGCGAAGGATTGGCAAAGAGGACGCCAGCCCGCCCCAGTAACCCAAGACCACACGTCACAACATGCTCAGCTCTCGTCCGTCGCTGTGCGGCTGGACGCCCGTCTCCGGGGCCTGTGCCAGAGAGGCTACGGCCTGAGCCCTACACGGCCACTACACCCTCATCCGCGGATGCGCGGAAACTTCTCCGGCCTGGCGCGCGATGATGACACCTCGCATGGCCAGTGGCACCTCGGACCTCAGGCTATGTTTGGTGGGGTCTTTGACTTCTGTCAAGTTTGCTGAACTTCTCACCCCTTTTAGAGTAGTGCCACCACCTTTTCTTCCTGCATAAGAATCGCAGCTCATCCATACCATTTTTTATTGCGTTAGACCCAAAAAAGTGCACACAGCACGGCACACCACATCGCGATTTCCTGCGGTTTAGGGTTGACGTTTTGAGGAGCAGGCAAAGAGTTATTGATGATGTCACTAAGATCGGGTAGGGTTGGGGAGTGCGCAACGGACCTGAAGGGAAGCAGTGGGAGAAACACAAAGCACAACTGCTGGCGGTGATGATGAGCTTTCAGGAATATGGCACAGGAGAATATGCAGGACAGGACAGTATGTCCAGTACCATATTGCTCCACATGCAGCACACGAGCATCGAATCCGTCACGACTACACACGACCGATGTTTCTTCATAAATGTCTGCTCTTTGTGACATTCCGTCGACATAGGCAAGGAAGAAGAAGAAGAAGAAGATGTGGCAAGGCACAACATGGGGCAGCAACTAAAGGGGAAGCTAACAAAGGTCCAAGCGTTTTTGCCGGGAGCCCATCCAACTCTCAGCTGCTCAGCTGTTGAGCCTCAATCCTTGGGGGCCCCGATACCCTAGAGGGCCCCAAAACTTTCCCTGGGCCCCCAACGCCCTGAACCGAAAATGGCCCGAACATTGGCCCTAAACCTCAGCACAGCAATCACCACGCCGCACGTCCAGGGAGCGCACTGCTTCAGAAGCTGAACCTGGTCCAGACCAATTTTTTTGTAAGTAACAGCTGCTAGTAACGAGAACAGGAGCGAAAGCATGAACAGAAATACTGGTCGTAAAAAAATCACAAGAATGCTAAAACCACAAGAAGAATGACTTGGGAGGATGGTAATGATAGTAGCCAGAAGGGCTTTGGCATCGCAATTGAGCTCGTGAGTGCAAATACATCCTGGATTGCATTCACAAGACCGGGAGGGATTGGATCCTGGAAGGATCTCCCCACATCTCGCCGAGTGAACGGAGAGGCCTGTGCCATCTGTTTGCTGGGCTCGACACGCAGGTCCGGGCGCTGTGCCCAAAACCCTGAACCTCTTCAACCCATATTGGTCCAACTGGGGCCCGCGCCGTCTTCGGGAAGAGCTCACAATTTCGGGACAGCCAGGCGCCCAGCCTGTTTGCACAAAACAATGGAGTCATCACAAGAGTCACAGCAATACTAATCATGACCATACAAGTAATACAGGAATACTCGCTGTACAAGTATTGCGACTAAGAATTACAGTTGTAATGGTAATAGAATACGGAAATAAGACCTGCACAAGACGTAAGAAGAGCAAAGATCAACAGTACTAATATAGTACTACTACTGATACAGTAATAATCGTATCAAAGATCAGAAGAGTCACTTTGAAACGAAAAATGAAAATACACATAAGCACATTTTCCTGCTCAGCCCAAGCACTGGCAGACTTGGCAAGCCCATGTCAACGACTCATTCCCACCCAAGCCTCAACTTGCAATCCGCAAACAACTTCGGAAAGTGTTGAGTTCAAGTAGATGCGGGCCCATGCAAGTTTCTCCTCATGAAAGCCCGGGATCTGGGCTCGTGCAGAACCCCGATTGTTCAAACATGTCTAGGCCTTCTTCAGGCGTGTCGTAAGCTTTTCCTTCACAAGCCACTTCGCATGCCGCAACGGAGACACCGAGCCAGACTTCGCAGCCTCCGCAGGCGGAAGCCGGACCAGCCACCTCCCATGACGTCGTTCTGGACCTGTTTGCTAGGATGGCCCTCAAAACCCTCTGAAAATATTCCTGAAGATGACCCTCTTAGACCCAACAAGGGAAAATATAAAGTGTCCCAAGGGCCTACTACCTAGTGTTTGCTGGGGCTTAAGTGGGCTTTGGGCCATGCCTACTAGGCTTTCTGCCTCAGGCTTTGGGGTGGAGTGGGCGGGGGGAAGGGGGTGAGGGCCGGGGCTCACAACCGAACCTTCCAACTTGAAAGTCGAAAGTCCGAGGGCCGCGCGCTGTCGGAGATAAGATACTCCTCGTTGTCCTGCATCGAGATCGACAAAGCGTGTGGGCAAGTTGGGCGGAACCCCTCACCTGCATCTACTCATCTACTCATCTACTCAGCTACTACTTCCTCTCTGCATCCTCCCAAACCACACCTGGCAAAAGGAGAACTTTGGTAGAACAGAAGGGACATGACATCGAACGGACCCTCAAGCTGTCGTCTTACTCAGCATTTCAATAGAAACGGGGACAACACCGGCAAAGCCGAAGAACCCCTTCAACCGACGCCCAGCCTCCAACAAATCTGCCAGTTCGCCCTGGACCTGACAGGGAGGCATAGTTGGGCCAGGCTTTACAACTCGCGAAGGGATTAGGTTCCAGGACTTAAGGTGACCTCCTGCTTCGTAGTGACTAGCAGGTCTGTCGTGTGTAACCAAAGTTAATCCGAAAATCGGCCGCCACGTTCTGAAAAGGTCGAGCCAGCCGCAGCTAAGGAGTCAGTCAGAACAAGTCAGAAACAAGGAAAGGTCCACCCCGAGCTTGCTAATCGGAGCTGAACGCGAAGAGCCGACCGTCGACAGATTGAGAAGACACCAAATCACAGCTTGGTGCACTGCAATTATGCCGCAAGTAATGTGCATCCTTCACCCTCAATCTCAAGTCATGGCATCGACAATTGCGGCAAAATATGCCACTGTAGGCCACTCAAAAGCATCGCTGGTGCGATGGTACCATGTAGTCACGTAATCTTGGCACAGCATTCAAAAGCGACCCAGGTGATCGCAATTAGGCATCATATGAACTGTCTCAACTTCACCAGGTCCCACACGTACGGCAAACCGGCGACGACCAGGTCCACCCACTCCTTGTTGTCGATCTCATCGACCTCCCACCTGCAGCATCAGTTCGTGATACGGTTCAGTGGCATGGTAGAAAACCAGCAGCACTGCGCCCAGAATCATCCAGGAAAGGAACCATGCACTCGGCAGACCCTGAAGAAACCGTGCAAGAACCGTGAACAGGATGCTCGAGAAACCGAAGTCGAATCCCTAAACGGTGGCGTGCCATGGCTGGGCACGGAGTCCGGGGAAGAACTCCGGATCAATCTCCTGTGGCTGCTAAGGCTCTGGGTGGGTTCTGAGGGCATGTGACAACGAACTCCAGCTCCTTTGGCAGAAGGCTCTGGACCCCTTCTCATCTCTCACAAAAGGTGGAGGATTTCAATGGCGCGAGCCAAGTGTGCTCCTGCATCTCTGGCAGCTCCGGAATCTCTTTCTCGTACTTGCAGTACCTTTCACCGGGTTGCCAGCGCTTTCTCGCACTCTCGAACAAAACGGGCGGGGCCAATCTGTCTCATTTCAGGTGCCCCGTTGCTTCTACGCCTGTCACACTACGCGACTAGGAGCCTTTTCTGTAGGTCCCGCATCCCTTGCCATGCTTTGTTGGACTTGCGCCCACTGCAGCTCTGGCTGAGCAACTTCTTTAAAATCAGATTCCGACGCTTCTGGGGGACCTGGGCTGGCCATATCAACATCCAGCATGCCTAAACGCTGCACACAGAGCTTTCCCACTGCGAAGGCCCCACTTGATGAACTCGTAGATCCGCAGCAGGTTCTCGCGCCCGAACTCGGGCACCACATCTTCCTCCCGGGCGCCAGCACTCTCATCTTCAGACGCTGAACACTGTCCCCCCACAAAAGCTGGACGTCGCGCAGCTCGGTCCCAAAGACCGCTGAGGCAAAATGACCCAAGCAAGAGGCTCAAACACCCCTTCGAGGCTCGCTACGTGAAAGAAGGATGTCATCTGTCAGAGGGTGCGCGAACCAAATTCCCACAAACGAAGAAAGCAAAGCCATCAAAACTCCTATTCAAAAACCCCTGCCTCAAAATCCTCTTCGAGCATCTCCCAGAATTGCTGCTGCCTGGCAGAATGCCAATTCTTGGGCTTTTGGGATTGCATCACGGGCTTCCGTTTCTGGGGTTCGAGCTCAGGGTCCTTTCCGAAGCTGCCCTCAAGTCCCATGACCACATGTGACGGCTCCATGACGACTTTCCAGCAGGACCGACTTATGACGAAGAGCTCGTAATCGTAAACCCTCCAAACCATTTCCAGAACATTCCCAAGCTAACCTCATTCCCGCAGCACACAGCTCAACCTGAGCCCTAACTTGGCAAACCCCGGTAGCCAAGTTCATAATGTGCAGCAAGCACTCGGTGGGAATGTCGGCCTGTCATTCAGCTCGCGCTTCACGATCGTCGTCTCCTGCTCGCTGTATGCCCGAAAGTGCACGCAAAAAAGGCCAAAAAAGGTCTGGCGCAACATCCTGCGATTTGCTACCTTGAGAGATTGCCTCATGCTCTTTAAGCTTGGGGTGCTGACGGCACCTGGCTAAAAACCCCTAGTTCATCCACGAGCCCTCGACGCTCCGCCCATCTCCGCCCTCAACAGTGTACATCGCGATGCGTCGCACATCCCTCTTCTACTAGAACTGTTGAAGCCGTCAGCCGCGCATGCAATTCCGGCCGCATGAAGCACAAAATGTGTATTTCGCATCCTCAGACCCAGGATATCAGGAGTCTAAGCTGGTTCTTGGCTGGGCCGACAACTCCTGCAGCGCTACAGCCTTCAACGATCTCTTTTGCTTTGCTTCGTGCGCGCCTTTTGCCACAGAAATCATGACTCAAATCGCGGCAAGATGCTTGGAGTATGTTGGACCTTAACTCCACACCCTCAACACCAGGCAGAACTTCAAGCACCAGTACCCGAAACCCAAGTTCAAAATCAAAGCTGGTGGCACCGTCGTCTCGGTGAGGGCCACGGAGTCCTAGCGAGGATCTGAACTACATGTTTGCCTCTTGTCCCCTTGGGCTACACATTGCACAGAAAAGGTTTGGGGTTCGCAGGGAGTAGCGCGGCTCAGGGCTGCAACCTGATGAAGACCGACAAGAAAAAAAAAGCGCCACGAGCCCCGACGAACCCTGCAACATGAAGCCCCTTAGTTCCCACCCTAAACCCTAAACCCTAAACCCCTCTCACATGTCCTAGGCTCCTCAAGGTTCACTCCCGACAACCCTTCAAGCCCGGCTTCCGGACGGGCACATGTTCTAGAGAGTCCGTTCAGGGTTTAGGGCTTTACCACGGGTTTTATATGGTCTTATGCCGAAACCCGGAGCACCCATATACCGAGCCATACCGAGCCGGCTGATGCTAGCAGTCATGTAGACGAAAGATGACGAGAACTATGTTACCAATCAGCTGGGCGTTGAATTGATGTTATTTGATATGCAACCCTTCTGTGGCGACAGCCGGCCGAAGAAGATTCAACTCCCAGGCAACGCCCGCCGAGCCGGCCTCTGCCTGCAGCGCCACGCGACAAGAACCTGCGACCAGATCCCTTTTGGGGCTCGAGCTTCGTCGAGCTTCGGGGTCTGGGGTACAGGTTCGTGACTTTTGGAGGCGGTTTTGGCAGTGTTTCACACTGTCAACGGAAGGCTTTCCGGGGTTCTCAGGGGGAGTCGAGAGTTGCCGGGGTCCTGGATCCCCTAAACCCTAAACCCTAAACCCTAAACCCTAAACCCTAAATCCTCGTAAAAATACTCCGGTCACAGCCTTCTCCCACCCCTCCTCGGCCGCGGTTCGGTGCGGCCCGCCGCGAACGCAGGGAAGAAGCTGCGGCAGCCGCGGCCGCGGCAACGCAGGCCTAGAGGACATGTGTATATGATGCATGTATGTATATATGATTCAGCCCCGGCGGGCCCCCCCCCCCCCCCCCCCCCCCCCCCCCCCCCCCCCCCCCCCCCCCCCAATGGTACCCCCCCCCCCCCCTGTGGTGTGGTTGGGGGTTGGTTTTAGGGTTTTAGGGTTTAGGGTTTAGGGTTTAGGGTTTAGGGTTTTAGGGTTTTAGGGTTTAGGGTTTAGGGTTTAGGGTTTAGGGTTTAGGGTTTAGGGTTTAGGGTTTAGGGTTTAGGGTTTAGGGTTTAGGGTTAGGGGGGTTTAGGGTTTTCCCGCGGATGGGGTACTAAGGTGATCCCCCCCCCCTGTGGTGTGGTTGGGGGTTGGTTTTAGGGTTAGGGTTTAGGGTTCAGGTTTTAGGGTTTAGGGTTACTTAGGGTTTAGGGTTTTTAGGGTTAGGGTTTAGGTTTTAGGGTTTAGGGTTTAGGGGTTTTAGGGGTTTAGGGTTTAGGGTTAGGGACCGTAGAGTAGACTTGGGGGGGGGGGGGGATACCATGGGGGGGGGGGGGGGGCCCAGGACGCTCGACGCTGAACCATATATACATATGTACATATGTACATATCTACATATGTATATATATAATTCTATCTATCTATCTATCTATCTATCTCTATCTATCTATCTACTAGTATACATATATATATATATGTATAGATGTACATACGGTTTGCTGCGAAGGGGCGGTCTTCCAAATATCGGCGTTGCTTGCTCTGCAGTGCACAAGAAAGCATGCAAATGCTGTGAACACCCGGCTGCAGCCGCGTTTGCATTCTGTGTCAGCGCCCCTTCCCTGAAGGCTACAGCGCAACGAGTACTGAAAATCGAGAACGGAAAAGCGCCGAGAAAGCTGCGGTGAGCCCGAGCGAGCTGTTGGTCTGCGGATTCGGGCAAGGCCTCAGTCAGGGCCGCAGTTCGGTGCGAGTCACCACACCGCACCACAACTCTCCGGGCCCTCAGTGCTAAAGTAAACCCGGCAGGGAATCCCCAAAAACTGCCTAAGGCGCAGGCTGCGCCAGGCGCGTGGGCGAGCGGAGCAGGGCCGAAGAAGGGGTGTCTTGGAGCAGCACATGAGGTTTCATGAGCTTGTACTAGATTTAGCGAGTATTCTGACTATTCTGACGATAATGACTAGTATGACTACGAGTATTAAGACTATTGTGACCCTTACGAGTATTCGTACTATTGTGTCTATTGTGACTATTACGACGATTGCGACGATTATGACTAGTACGATTATTACGATTATTACGACCATTACGACAATTACGAGTCGTATTACTATTACGACTGTTATGACGGGTATGACGATAACGAAGATTATGCCTGTCAAGTTCTCGGGACTGTTCTGTGCCCGGTGCCCTGTTGTTCAGCTTTCAGGCTACAAGGATCCTGCTACCTGGAACGCTTGCGTTGGGCTTTGGAGGATCATGCGAGTCATGGGGAGGAAAAAAACCGGGGAAAGCGTAGACCGATTTCGATAGCGTGAAGGCGCTCCCTCCCTCTCCCGCACAGATGGCCTATGCCAGGGGTGGCAACGAAGGCCAGCGCGCTCGTCGCCATGGCTACTCCAGCAATGTGTTTCGGCAAGAGTGCTAAACTGGCCAGACTCTGAAGGTGCTTAAGATCAGCAATGTAGGACTCACGACGGTGTCTGCCAGCGCCGCGATCCTTCCTGGTAGCAGCATCTTCTTCAGTGCGAGGAGCATGCGGACGGCCGTTGTAAGAAGGGTCTTTGTCCCTTGTTGAAGGCAAGTGCTGAGAAGGAACATGAGCATGAGTTGGAAACCTACCCTGGTGAAGTCCAAGCTTAGAGGTGCAGAGATCACAGCCATTCAGCATGTTTCAACTCAGCAGAGACCCGAGAATGCTGAGGCATCTAAGCTTCGAAGGGGCAATCCTAGCTCTGAGCGGGAGAAAACCTAACGCTATGCAGACCCACCGGGCCTTCTTTGCTGGAGGGTCGCCAATGACGTGAGGAGTCCTTTCCCAACGCACGCTGGCTCATTGAGGAAGCACAAAGTCACGAAGCCCCCAAGAGCAAGCGGAGAACGAAAGAACAAATCCCGAAACCTCACCTCAATGAGGGCCTTTGCATGTCTGGCCATCATCCTAAACTCCTAATCCTAAACCGTATCGCCTAACGTGGTCAGATTGTATAACCCCAAAAGTTTTGGGCTGGTCTGCAGGCCCTGGAAGCCTCCTGGTCCGCCTGGAGGCTTTCTCCATGCCTTCTCAGGGGGGACTTCACGCAATCAAAAATGGCTTGTTGGTGCCTGCGCACCTTTTTTTTGGCCCTTCCGGACCCGGCCTAGAATACCGCAATGCAAAACCTGTCCCGGCAACCTTTGTCTTTAAACCCGAACCCTTACCTCGAGCCGCAGGTGTGTGGGGTCCTGGACCCCCCCACCCCACCCACCCGCCCTGCCCTGGACACCCCCCCCCCCTACTTCCTCACCTGTTTTTGTTCTTCACATTTTCACCCTGCGATGTCCAGTCTGGGTTGCCTTGCTGCTGCCGGCCCAGGCCGAGGCGGGTCGCGTAGCAGTGACATGAATCCCCGGCTCCTGGCAGCCCTGGCATGTTGCTCAGGGAACAGCCGCGCCAGATTGCTCCGGCTGGGCAAGCCTGGCTGTGGCTTTCCGGTTTTGGGGTTTAGGGCTGTTTAGGTGGGGCTTATGGAGCTTGCGGCGATTTATGGCCTACGTGAATCTTCGCCAAACCCGGCAACCTAGACCCAAAGCTCACCAAACCACAAATAACCTGTTGAACCCATAATTCCTCTTACCCTGTCGGGTTGTTTTCGAGGGCCTGTCGAAGTTCCCCTCGCAGACAAGGCATCAAGGCCCATCTTCCCAGATCTCTGGGACGATCTCGGCTAGGGTTTAGGGTTCAGGGGTTCAGGGGTTTAGGGGGTTTAGGGGTTTAGGGGTTTTGGGGTTTTGGGGTTCTAGGCTTTAGAGGTTTAGGGGTTTTGAGGTTTTGAGGTTAGGTTTGGGCTCCTTCATCCCCCCTCTTTCCCACTTTCTACTTTCCATGTCCCAGGGCTGTGGGTTGCCATGTTCGGCTTTGAGCCGGGCGGGGGGGCCCTTGAGCCCTTGAGCCCGGCAAAGGGGTTCTGCTGCGAGGTCAAGTCGCCAGACTTCGACCGTGCTCTAAACTGCATTGGACTCCACTACTACGTTTATGTGCTGGCTCTATGTCTTGCGAGATTGAGATTTTACTTGTCTACTTACTCTATATGCTACACCCTCCTGGAACCCAGCGAGTGGCCCAGTTGCCATGACAGTTGTTTGTGGGGGGGTGAGCGGGGGGCCCTACCCTGAAGCTGCAGTTTATTGAGTTTACTGGGTTGCTGTTGAGGAACTGAAACTAAGATATCACAGCAAGTGCACCACGTCAGTCAGTAGCTGTCGGGAATGGAGGAGTGAGGAAGCATCCTAGCTATTCCTTGTACTACGGCATCGTTCCTTCCCCCGGCACTTCTTTTTTTCGCTCACAACTCATCCCGGCGACGCACACGGTATGTGGAGAGGATCGCGGCAGATCCATCTTCGAGCTCATGGACCTGCGCTTCTCAGAGGAGTGTTGAGGGGATGATAGCCCTGCACTTCAGGATTCCATGCACAGAAAGACCACCCAACCCCCAACGAAACTAAAGCCATCGGAACTCCCCTCCAGCTCACGCAGCCTGGGTAGAGAAGCTTCGGTTGCCCAGATCTGAGAGATACCTGGACAGCGTATGCAAGCCCGACTGCTGGAGATCTTCTCAAGAAACGACACTCTCTGCAACAGCTCAAGATATATGCCCTAATAAACCCTAAATCCAATCAATACAATCACCCCCCAAAGACTCTTAAATCATAGCCCGAATCACCTGGCGGGCTTAGGGTTTCGGGTTCAGGCTGCAGGTTCAGGGTTTAGGGGTTTCCACGCGGCTCTCCTCTGGTTCGTTCTGGGTTTGGCTTGGGCGGGTACCACGGGGGCACCGTGGGGGTGCCCAAAGATTCCTGAAGCTCGAAGCGAAGGAAAACGACCAAGAACGTGGAAGGGCCAGGCCTGCCGGTTGCAGCGTGGTGGGACCCAGGCCCATGGGCAGACACCTCGGGCACTGGGCCATTTAGGGTCAGCAAAGCTGTGCCGTGGCTCAACCTCCAAGTTTTTTTTTCTTGGCACCCTCATCTCTTTGTGACCCTGTTTCAGCTCGGGCCTTCATGTTCTGCGCGCTTAAAGGTCCTCTGGCATATGATCTTATATCTGTCTGTCCCTCTGTCTACTCTCTTGTTCTTCTTACGATTATTATTACTATTACTATTACTATTACTATTATTATTATTATGATTATTATTATTATTCGTCTTCTTCTTCTTCTTCTTCTTCTTCTTCTTCTTCTTCTTCTTCTTCTTCTTCTTCTTCTTCTTCTTCTTCTTCTTCTTCTTCTTCTTCTTATTCTTATTCTTCCTCCGCAGGGAATGGGCGGAGATGAGTCTTCCTACTCTCTCTGCCTCTCTCTTTGGGGCTCGCAAGCAGCAGATCGCTCAAGCCGAGAAAGGGGGGAACAAGATGGGCATGTGCTGCGCCGTATGCAGAACTTAAGTCCACAAACGCCTGGAACACTCTCCGTACCCAAGCCTTCTCCATGACACATCCCCACATCTGGGATCTCGCGCAACGGTGCCATTGTGTATCGCCCCCGTCTTAATCAAAGCCTGCGCTTCTCAGGATTTCTGGTAGCAGGTGCATGGACTGCGGGACCCTATCGGTTGTGGCTTCCGAGGCTCAAGGGAGTCTTTAGGGCGCTGAGGTTAAGCGCCAGCATCTCTCCTCCTCTGCTCGTCAAAGGGTCGCACATGCAAGATGAACTAGCCACCTAGGCTTATAATGTGCTGAACCATGTCGTGGGACTGTCAAGTCAGGCTGCTTCTGTCAATAGTGCCCCGCAAGGCATCGATCTGAACATGAAATGGCTCACCATAGAAGGCTGTGAGATCGGGAAGTTTGCAACTTCATAGTTCTAAAGTACTCCTACGGGGCGGAGCCCAAGACGTGAGAGACTATCGCATCGTATCACCCGCAACACCTGAAAGCCTTTCAAACCTCAGATCCCCGAGGCTGAACGTGCCCATCATGAGCTTGTTGTTTCATACTCAGAGTGTCGTTTTTTGGATGACTGGCTGCACGCCTCCAACTGCGTGGTCTGCGTCTCGCGGTTGCCGCCTGCACCGCGACTCCATATGCGGCAACGATACACGAAGCCTATTTTCGGCAGGGTCCCTGCATCTTGGAACACCACATCTGATGGCATGCAAGCAGGAGAAATGAAATTGCCGGCTGTGTTGTTTCGACGGTCTCTCTGCATAGCGTGAAAGCCATGACCTGCATTCGTTTACACTTGTTGCCGGGTATGATGCGCCTCGTGCAGCCCTTGTCCCGGGAGCAGGAGGTCTCACCAACCTACATCCTACACCCCCCAAAAGTGTCCATATGTGCCCATGACCCCCAAAACGTCTCCCGACAATCCTGCTGCGAAAGCAGCTTCGGCAAGAAGTCTCCCCAGCAGCCTGACAGCACGACGAGGTCGAAGTCCGGAAGCTCATAAGTCTGCGAGTCGTGGGGCACACGAGGCCGGATTTCAACTCTGGGGCTGCTATACTGCAGGGCGCTGTAGGACTGGCCCTCAAAGCCTCTTAACTTGCCAGAACGAGACATCACTCTAGCAGCCAAAAAAAAGGGCATCGAAATGCGAGATGGAAGCCCTCTGCCCACCTCCCCTAAACCCTCCACACTAAGGCCTAAACCCTAAACCCTAAACCCTAAACCCTAAACCCAGTCCCCCCCCCCCCTGCTTATCCTCCTGGAGGGACTCCAAGGTCTCTGTCAGCGGCGTCCGCTTCGCGGGCACCAGGGGGAGGTGCCTTACCATGGGGGGGCGCTCAGAGGGGCCCCTTTGAGGCCCTTTAAGAGAAGGCTCATTTCAGGGGGCTTTTAAAAGGCCCTGGGGCTCAGGGATGTGCAGGGCTGTTCAGGGCTGTGGGGTTGGGCTTGGGCCCAACAAAGGGGGACCACGAAGCTAGACCAACACCTCTTTGGCAGCCTGAGGATGTCGAAGTGCTTGTCGCCGATGGCGTGGTGGATGAGCTGGCTCCCTGGCTTCAGCTGAAGAATTTCTCTGACGCTCTTGGCGTCTCAGGCCACGATGGTATGGTCTAGAATGGGCGAGGAATTCACCCTGGTCCGATTGTTGCGCGTGTTGGCGTTTTTTCATTCTACTAGGGGCTTCTATTTGAAAAGCAGAGTGCAGAACGCTAGAGCTTCAGTCTTAAGAAGAGAACGAAGTGAGCGTGGGAACAGAGTATAGAATCCTTACCAGTAGTAATACTATTATTCCCTAGAGTCTTATTCACATGTACTGGATGATTGGTGCTCTTGTTCACGGACTTATCATGAAAGCCCAAATAATACGTCCTAAAGGTTTACATGGAGGCTCAATGGTCATGTGCTCACGGTCGCTCATAAGATTCATGCATTCGCGAGCTCATTTATAATCTTATTCCCTCTTTAAATATAGTTTATAAAGAGTGAACGTAGTGAGTACAGTGAGTGAATAACATGAACGAACAAGGGAACGAAGTGAGCACTATGTTCTTCCTGGTAACGAAGCAGAAGCACAGCCCTGACAACGCCTTGCGGAGAACAAAATACAGCCGAAGAAGCCCGAACCTCAAACTGCCCTCCAACCTTAAACCCTGCAAGCACCATCAGCCCTGATCCGTATCTAGCCTTGAAACCGTGCTCCTGCAAGCCGAACGGACTCAAAACGGACCCCACGCGAGGCTTCACAGCAAAGACCGCGCTTCCCTGACGCCCGCGATGATTCCTACATAGCCGATTCAATGTCATAGACTCAGAGAGCAAGCCGAAAACCCCCATCGTTGGCTGCTGCTGGCCTGCATTGGAGAAGTGGGCCTGATCCTCCACGCTAACAACCTGTGTACAGGATTGCGCTCACATCACCGTTGACCCTGCGCTCATGCCGAAGCCGTCTGTATTTATCGCGTGCTCCACTGCAAGATCAGTGTGCTGGGATAAGCACAGCACATCTGGTTGCCACAACAGACAAAGTGCAGCTGCAGCGTCATGGTTTGCATACGATGGAACCTTTCTGTCTTCTGGCATGCCATCGCGCGGTATAAGTGTCCGGAAAGCATGTGCACGAGTTCTTACGAGCGCACACAGTAGTTCTCAGCATGAGCCCTGGAGCTCCAGAGGTTTATGTGCAGTACTGGTAGCCAGTAGCGGGGGCGGCAATACTTTCTATCATGCGGCGAAGAATTCAACGCGAGAACCACCTCAAGAACACCGAACCCAATTATTCCAATCCACAGGCCGTGAGAGCCGAAAACCCGCTGAAGAAAAGAACCGAAGCAGTCAACCTGGAGCTCCCTCCAAGGACCTCAACACCGCCTCAATATGTATGCCAAGGAATCGCAAGGGATCAAATCGAGGAATTAAATCGAGCTTCTTAGTCTATACCTTGAACCTGAAGCCTAGGACCTCAAGGACCTCAAGACCCCCGGCCCCTTGAATGAATCCTGGCCTCGTGGACAGCGAAGGGGGGAAGAGGGATGCGAAGGAACATGGGCAGCGCCCTGCGACGGAATTCGAGCCACGGGTACCTTTCGCACCTGCCTAGAACAGATGAGCACCTACGTGTCACGAACACCACAACGCTGTGGACCCTAAACCCCACTGACAACCCCCTACCCTGAACCCCGGAACCCTACCCTTCATCCCCTAAACCCACGAGCCCTAATCCTGAACCCGCCCCTCTCGGCCTCAACTCGTAGGTTCCCATGCCGGAGCCCACCACCAGCATCCGCACCCTATGGGAGCTCATCAGGAAGTGTCAGGGTTTCGCGGGAACTCAAGATCCTTCAGGGAACCGAATACTCCCTGTTTGTCATACTCATCATACTCAGGTATCTAACCATACTAAAATTTAATCGTATTAACAACACTAATAGCAGCTTGGGGCTCCCTAGGCCCGGAACCCAGAACAGAACCGAGCTCTGGACCCTCGTGTGTTCGGCGGAAATTCGGTCTTGACGGCTGTGGCGTCCTCGGCCCGGCTGGAGGCGGATTAGGGTTCTGGCCTTCGGGTCCGCCACTTGCAGTGAGAAGAGGATCCATAGCCAGCAATAGACGAATTCGATGGCAATGGCTGCCAGGAGCCATGAAGCCAACTCGCAATCCGAATGCGACGCACCGGCTATCGCCACGACCATGATAAGAAGGCAGGCTACGACGCGGACGGCGACCGGCGACCCATGCCAAAGACTCGGCTTACGCCCCGCCCTGTTGCAGGGCTCTAAAAAAGTTGGCCAGAGCGCCTCCACAGCAAACTGCCAATTGTACGAGTATCCCCCTCAGGCCGCCAAACAGCCCAAGCCTAACAAAAATTGTAGGGGGCGAGCAGCTGAATCGAAAGGCTTATAACTTATGACCTTCCGGGGCGAACTCAGAAAGGCAAGTGAGGGCAAGAACCGCAGCCATCACACAGGTTCCCCGTAAACCCTCCACCCCTCAGCTGGCCCTCGGAGCAAAGCTTGTGGCTAGTTCAAGGCTTTCCGGCCGAGCTGAAGCTGGGCGCGCTGCTTCTTTGTATCTGGCCTCAGGGCTCCAGGCTTTGCGGAGCGCAGGAAACGCTAGAGCCGGTACGCCTGGCATGTCTGATCACGACCGAGTCGTCGACTTCAGGTCCTAGACACAACGCCTTTCCAGGAAGGGAGCCCACAAATCTGCTAAGCCAACTCCAGGCTTGTCTCACACCCAGACCTCCGCATCCAAACCCAAGCTTCAAAGCTCCAAGGCAGGAACCAGATACTTCTTCTGCGGGGATGGGTACATCTGCAAGCCAGCGGTGGCCTGAATCGGGGTGAGGGCTTTGCAGCGGGGGGATGGTTTAAGGTTTCAGGCTTGCGGAGTTTTGGGGTTTCTACTCGCTACTCCGATATGGCAGCACTTTCGAAGGACCGTTCCGTGCTTTCTTGAGTGGGGTCTCGGGAAAAACGCACCACACTCGACAGTGGCATCGCCCCGAAGGCTGCAGACATGATACAGATTCTCGCCAAAACTGAGAACACAACCCGGCACTGGTTGAGAAGTAATAAATATGAAGGGTCACAAAAGCTCGATGTTACTGTGCACCTTCCTTCCCCAACAGGGATGGCAACAAAACCCAAGAGAGAACGCATAGGCCCCACGTTCTTAGCGAAGCTTCGCAGAGACTCCGGGTCCACCACCGCAGCGTCTGTTATGGCCTGCTCGATGACCTCCACAAGGAATCTGGCTGTGGGAGATCGGATGAGCGGGGCCGACACGGATTCACGGCCTTATGAACTTATTATGAGTTGCTGATGCTTATTCTCTGTCACCATTTCGGGATGTCACGAGTCTGCAAAGTACGCATAGTTGACCGGCATTGCAAGTACCTGCCGTGCACCCGCCCGGCGGCTACATTGACTTCTAGTCCAGTGCCTACAGCCACCCACACTTCTCATGACCAGATTTTTCAGCACGCCGACGGTGGCGCGGAGGCCAACGGTCGCAAGAAGAAGGCCCAGAATTCCGAGTGACACCGCGCCATTGACCTGGAATGGCGAGGGCGTCAACTGCAGCCAAAGCCTGTCTTGCACGTGCACTGGGTCGGGGAAGTCCACCCTGGGCCAGCCTCCATCAACCTCCTCCCACTCCAGCCTTGCAATGTAGGCGCGCCGGTGACAGTTGTGCCCTGCACTGGCGTGCCATACGATGAGGGTGGCACCATCAGATGTCAGAGGGAAGGAAGCATGTCCAGGGCCGACCATCTTCACTCGATCCCGTCCATCATATCCCACGATGCCTGTGGAGAGCAAAGGAATGGGCAGCTTCTCATATGGACCCCAGATGTCCTTTGAGCGTGCGACGCCCTCCGCATAGCTCTCCTGGCAGAACCTGCCGGCCGCAAAGAAGAGGAAGTACCAGCCTCCACGCAGGATCATCTCGGGACCCTCCACCAAGCTGCCCCCTGACACCCAGCTGTCTACCCACCTCAGCACATCAGCGCACAGGCACTTCACGCTGCTGTTTACAATTGATTCGGCGTTTGTGGCTGAAAACTGTCTTATTAGACGGAAAACTACTTCTGATTTGGCAGAACATGGCCTTTGACTGCTGAAGTATCTGAGTTAAGGCCAAAGAAAGCAGGTGCCAGAAGGAATCGTCTGGAAGTCCAGCAGAAGCTACGGCAACTGCAAATCTCAAGATCCTGGACCCCTTCACCTGAACCTTTACCCAGGACGAGGCGCCACAGCCCGGTCGAATCAAGCACAACCGCTGGCTGACCCAAGAGAACGATACCGCTGGCATTCACGGAGCACCTCTCATCTAGACTCAGTAGTGGTCAACTTGGGGCATAGGGCTTGACTGGCTTAACGCTTCAGTCCTAGGCATTCCCGCGGCGCAGGAACACGATGTCGTTTAGACAAAGGTACACCAGGCACAAAAGCAGATTTCACATGCAGAAGGCTCAAAGTCGATCGCAAAGACCTTCATGGCTTTGTGGCTCATTATTGACCTGTCTGCAGTGTGCGCTGTGCTTGGGGCTTGGCTTTTGGAGCTCAGGGAGCTTGTTGAAGGAAGGAGTGAGACCTACTCTAGGGCCTACACGTTGTAGCTGCGTGGGAGGGAAGGCGCAGATTTCACACCGAGGCGCTGCTGCATCCAAATCCGCGTCACTTTGGCGCCGACGCGGTTGTCGTCCTCGACATGCCGGGCAGTTCCTCCTCTACAATTCGGGTCCCTTTGTCGAGGAGTACTTTGGCCCGAACTCCCTGCACAGAAAAAGCCCTCAACATCCTCAACTCCCAGTCCGTCTTCCACAGAAGGTAGGTTCGGCCGTCCGCGTCGCGGAAGAGGTGCGGGTCGATGTCGCCCCCCTTGCTTCGGCCCAGGTCCAGGGTTCCTTGAGCTTCAGATGTAGGGTTTGGGGCTAAAGCCTTTCCAAAACTTTTTGGGGCTTCCGACTTTGGCTGTTCACGGTTTCGGGTTCTTTTTGGTGTTTACCATGGGAGGCCTTTGCTCGTCAGGCTGTGGAAACTGAAAATCCGAGATGCCCTCCAGCACCTTGGCATCTTGACAGTCCAAAGACCGCAAAGCCCCCCAACAACCCTAGAAGACCCTAAACCCTACACCTTAAACATCAATTGAAAACTAAGCCCTGAACTCTAAACCCTAAACCCGAAACCTTTGAACCCTAAACCCCCGAAGCCTTGAATCCTAAACCCCCTGAGACCAAGCCAAGGCTGAGCCTAGGCTCCCTCCCCGCATGACCAGCTGCCTGCCGTCCGCCCCAGGCCCTCAGCCAAGGCCCAGCCAATTCGATGCTCCCCGGACGGCTGCTTGTCCTTTGCAGCGAAGGCTGTGGAGTGGGCTTTTTGAAGGAAGGGGATAAGACTTGGGTTCAGCTGGGGCTGAAGAAGAGGGGCAGGGCGCGGCGCATGAGATGCGGGGAGTCATGCAACTAGACACCGCATTGGGCTCGAACTGCCGACGACACCTTGTCACTTGCAGGCGAGAAACGCACCTGTCATACACACCTGTCTTTCTGACAGCCCATGCAACCCAAAAGCCTCAACAGCAAAGTTGGGGCGATAAGCTGCGGTCACATCCCAACACCCTCAACTCCACCCTCTCCCGGCAACAACAGCATCTCAGACCAGAGTCGCAGAACACCAAAACGTTCAGCAACTGGCTGACCTCCAGCGCCTGGTAAGCGAAAAGCGAGGCAACTGCTTCTGGCAGCAGAGGATTCTGCAGAGCGGAATCATCATGTGCGCGAGAGTTCGCATTCTCCAAACAATGTGCTCAAGTTGCACATCGATTGAAATATGGGGTTTGGCATCACTGGCAAAAGTTCGATTAAAGCTGAGGAGGAGGGAATGCAGGCATGCGCAGGCTCGAACTCTTCTTAGAAGTGAGCCTCCCTCTCAAGGGCAACATGAACCACAGTTTTCCACGGCCTCTGGGGCCCAGCGGTCGCCAGCACTGGCCCAGGGTGGCAGAGGTCCTTCCCGAAGTCGCAAGGCAAACATAAAGCCGGCTTTTTGAGTCGTTTCGTCCATGCGAGCTTCTTCGAGCTCTTTCGGGGTTTGGGTCTCTTCGTTTGCACTTTCTGCGGGGGGGCCTCGACTGTTTTGCTCGAAAGTACTGCGCTGGCGATGGGGCTTCATGACTTCATGGGAGAGGTCAACTCTACGACTCTACGACAAGTCCAGGGAAGCGTAGGCCGCTTGGAAGCTTAGAGCAGGGACCGCGTAATCACAAGTCTGAAAATGCAGAGCACTGCAAGTTCTACGGTCCGCCCTCCCCAAATGATTGCGAACCCCTTAGGACGGTGACATGGCAAACCTCCTCCCAAGGCTGGGCCCAGCGTGGACAGCGCGGCGCCCGGCGCCAAGCGTGGCCCAGAAAGCAGTGGAAGGCGCCCCCCGGTGCAGAGCAAATACCTTCTTGGGCGGCTCTTGGGCGTCTCTTGGGCGGCTCATGGGGGGCGAGAGGGGACCGGAAAAAAAAGCGGAGCTCAGAGACCCGAAACCCTAAACCCTGAAAGGGAGGGTTCGCCCACCAAGTCTTGGCGGATGCTCTCATGATCCCTCATGGCTCCACACGAACCCGTTGATCCCTGCGAGGGCCTAGAGTTCTCGGGGTGGGCAAATTATAAGGGGCCCTTCGCTTTTGTGTTCATTAATGAACACGAGGCGGGCCCTTCGTGGCTCCGCTCGGCCCCCATAGAACCCCCCCCCTCGCACTCCCCCGGATGCATTCTTGTAGGATAACTCTGCCAGCCTCGGGGGGGCGGTTGCGTCGCGCTTGGGCACAGTCCGTGGTGGGGCCTACGGGATGCGGCCAAGGCACAAGCATCAATTGCGGCATGAACTTCAGGACAAATCTTTGTAGGGACAAAGCACTGCTTGCGCTCCGAGCGGCGACCCATTCCGTGTTTGCCAAGCAAATGGGTCAGCACATACGCCTCCGTCAGGATGCGAGGGATGTGAGGGATGTGAAGGATGTGAGGGCACACTACCATGCTGTCTCAGCTCAACCTTTGCCTCAATTAGACAAGCCTGATGGATTAAGAATGCTTACGGATTCAGGGATTCGCAGGTCCCTTTCACTCTGCGGGCCTTCTGTGCTTCGCTGGTGATACACCTCGGAGCCCCCAAGCGGATGCCTTGCCATGCGGATGCTGAGCCGACACCACAAAAAAAAAAACTAGACCCCTGAGGTGGAGTGGGGAGCTTGACATGGTCAGAGACTAGGGACACATGCCCGAATTCCCGCGACTGTTTCAGGAAACCTCGCCGGAGCTTAACCCACTAAATCACAAGGATATTACCTATTCGGGTGTCCTCATCATTCTCTCCACGTCCCACAACCTCTGTCTCTAGGAGTTCATCTGTTGAGTCGTGAAGGTAGCTGCCAGGATGGGAGAATGAAGGTGAAAAGGGCCAAATAAGTCGTTTAGTAAGGCCCTTTTCATCTCCCTCATTCGTGCATCGGATGACAGGGGTTTTTCCTGCAGGACCCGTGAATAGGATGTTGGTTTCGTTCAGTAAGCTGTGTTAGTACCTTTTATAAGGATGAACGAAGAGAAGGCGCATGAAACGTGCGAACACACATGAAACTGCAAGACCTGCCTGCAGCAGTGGGGCGAGGAGAGAGAGGGCGAGAGAGGGGGACAGAGGAGAAAAGCCCGCAATCCGAACCCTGTGTTCGAGCTCGAAATCTTTATGCTGGGGCTTGGAAGATTTTGGGGGCTCAAGACCGGGATGCCAGTAGAATGCAGCGCCTTGCTGGGAAGTCAAGTTGATGGAAGACTCTTCCTGGTATGGAACGAGCACGGGCTTGTACAGGTGGGAGCACGGTGCAAGAACCATGAACCCCCGAAACCCTACGTACACCCGTTTCAAAAGTTCAGGACCTTGGAGATTGGATTCAGACTGGTGCTTACACGGTGTGTACAGGGCGCAGGACTCTGTCAGATTCAGACATGCACGCGTCACCTCTTCCTTAAGGCTCGCTCATGTCAGCCTTTGCAGGCAGCACGCAACGCCTGCGGCTAGTTTTGGATACTATGATTCCGGCTCCAGTTGGAACCGCACTGCGTTGTGCAATTCAGCATCACAGTCCAACTTAGTCAAAGAGGCACCAGGACGTCTCAGCTGCCTGCTTCGTGGCTACTTAGGTGAGAAGCGTTTAGCCCGTTTGCATCCTGAACAATTTGATGGACAAAAATGGTTCCAGGACGACTGTAACATCTGCGAGCATCAAGGGCATCAATGATGCGAGTGCCCAAGCGATGTGTTCTTCGCTACATTCCACCCACGCTGATGGCACTTGTTCTTGTCCTCCTGCGGGTTGCACATATTGTGCTGCTAAACTCTGTTCCGCGTGCACACATTCTCCGCCTTCGAAGAACTGTTCGGTGCTCAGTCGGTGCGTTCGGGTGCATGTAGCGCTGCATGTGCTTGTGTGCGTGTGTGGGTTATTGGCCCTCAGCGGAGATGTTTTGGTGTTCTTGCGCCTTGGCAGAACGCGTGCGGTATCCATCATGCTTCTTGGTGTGTGCCCCAATACTTTGTTACCTGCAGGCGCTGGCAGGCTTTTGCATGCATTGATATGGTTCGGGGGGTCGCACGCATGGACAGGTTCCTTCGCGGTGTCAGAGGCATCTGTAGAGTGGGCACATGGACACTCGCATGGGTTCTCTGGTTTCTTCCTGTTGGTTTTGTTTAGCTCCGCGCCACTTGTCGGGGGTTGACTGGGTTGCGCAGGCTTGCGGGCGGGGATGCTGCAAACGCGACCCTCGTGGAACAGGTCTTCGGCCAGCCCGCAGGCCCTTGGCCTCGCAGATTCCCTGCTGTGCATTCCAGTCTGTGTTCCTAAACCCTCGACCCTATTCTCTACACCCTAAACCCTCAACAAAAACATCAAAGAGCTGCAAGCATCCCGGGCTCCTTGTCGCAGATGGCAGCAACTTGCTGCGCGGCACAGTGGCTTCGGCCCAGCGCCTTTCGGAGACTCTACCCCCTTCCGGGAATCATGATGGTGGAGTCGGAGAAGTGCCCCTAAACCCCTCTCAACAACTCCCAAAAACCTCTCAAAAACCACCCTCTCAACACCCCTCAACTCTAGGCTTCTGGGCCCAGCGGCTCGGAGCGTGTGGGCCAAGGACTTGGGCTGCAGCTCAAAGCTGTGGAGGCCCTTCTTGGACTCGGGGGCCTGAACTGCACCAAGACTTGACGGTGGGGGGTTAGGGCGGGCTCAGGGCTCAGGGCTCAGGGCTCAGGGCTTAGGGCTTAGGGCTTAGGGCTTAGGGCTTAGGGCTTAGGGCTTAGGGCTTAGGGCTTAGGGCTTAGGGCTTAGGGCTTTGGGTTTTGGGTTTTGGGTTCTGGGTTCTGGGTTTTGGGTTTTGGGTTTAGGGTTTAGGGTTTAGGATCAAAGAATTGCGAGCTCCTGTGGCTCAGGGAGTCGTGGAGGGTTTCGGAGAGTTTTGGGGGCTTGGGTGAAGCCTGAAGGCGTAGCGGCAGAAGAGGCGCTCAAGGGTAGAGGAGCTTCCAAAGTTTAGGTTTGAGAGATGTGAGGGTCGAATGGGGTAGGATTTGCGCTCCTCATGTCAAGTCTTTGCCTCTCTGCGGCTGGATTCGGCAAACGGGGAAAAAGCAAAGCAACCTAAAGGAAATAAGCACGAGCAACGCCTGGTTGCCTAAAGCACTTAGCCCCCCTAGACCCTAATATCCCCCTAAACCTGATCCCTAAACCCTTAAACTCTAAGTCCCCTTATGGATGGCCAACAACGCTCAAGACCCGAAACAGGTGTCCAAGGGTGCAAGGGATGCTGGTGAGTCGAGCGCGTTGGAAGATGGATTCGGATTGCTTCAGCATGGTTAAGGGGAAAATTTGGAAATCTTCGGGATGACGATTGGGATGGTTCGAGTTTAGGGCTTAGGGGTGACTTCAGTCATGCGGCAAAGGCGAATGGTAAGCGGCGGGAATATCTGCACGTTGATGGATTGCTGGGTGGTCAACTCTGGGCGAATGGAAGTACGAGGGGACCAGCTGTTTTCAGGCTCAGCCGCATAAGCGGCCGCCGAACCTTTCGTAATGTCTCGGGTGTTCCTTGAGAAGTGTCCCTAGCGAAGCGCAGAAGGGAGGAGGGGAGAGGCTTTACAATTTTTAGATGTGTTTTTGTTCTATCTGTCTTGAAAAGCAGTTTTGAAAATTGCCCACATGATCCACAAATGGTCCATGCGCGGCAATATCAACGAAGTTATCGTTGATCTTCAGCCACTTGATTCGAGAAGCTGAAGACGCTGCAAGGGACTATACAGTATGGGCTTGCGGTCCAAGCCTCCCTTGGGAAACCTTTCGGTTTCCAGCTCAAGGCGTTCTGGCAAAGCCCGGCATAAACATAACAACATTAATTCGCCACTTGCGGAGCATCATGATGTTTCCGTACTTTATGCAAGGAGAGTTGTGAGGGTTACCGACATGGCCCCTGGAAGGCCTATTCGGCAATATCAACGAAGTCTTCGCTGATGCTGGCTTCGTTGATCTTCAGGCTCCTCAGCAACTCAAATTACTGAAGAGGATGAAGAGACTGCAGCCGCCACTGGGCCGGGCGTTCCAAAACTTCCATTCCAGCCCCTTCGGCATCGAGGAGGTTTGGAAGCCCTGCGTTGATGGCGAAAAAAGAACGTAAGCACAATCCAAACGGAATTTGTATGGAACATCATGAAAACTTCCGCAAGGATGGCTTTGAAAGTTGCCAATGGCCACAAGCAGACCTATGTGGCAATATCAACGAAGTCTTCGTTGATGAAGCCTTCGTTGATCCTCAGCCTTTTCAAGAAGCTGAAGTAAAGATGCAAACGGAAGGGAACTTCCGTTGGGTCGTGGCGTTCCAAACCCAGCTTTAGCAAAACCCCTCGGCTTGGAGGTTTGGCAATCGCCTGGCAAAAACAAACACTATACATCACTGTACAGAGAAGAATTCAGGCTCCGGCACCATATTTTCCGGCTATACAAGTTCATATGGCTCCACCGGACGGTCAAAACTGTCAGTTTCCTCAGGTTTCTCAGGTTTTTCAGGTCTGCTGCTCCTTGAAGACGCCACGGACTCCTCGGGTTTCTGCGGCAACCCAGCAATCTTCCAAGTCTCCGCGGCATCCCGGTCCAGCGAGTGCGACTCTGTCAGATGCCTCTTCAGGGAGGCAAAGGTGGTCTTCTGCTGCTGCGCAACCTCCTCCTTAACACGTGCATGGTGCAAGGCCGCCATCATGAGGATGCACGCCAGCGTTGCCATCGCCAAGACTTTGTTCCAAAGGAGCTGCGCCAAGCCGAAGATCATCTCAAAGCCGTAGGACACGCTGATCTCGAAGGACACGGCCATGTTGGTTTTCACTGCCCCGGCCAAGTACACGCTGCTCTGCTTGATGGGATTCTTGAGCACTAGCGGGAGTACCGTGAGGGCGAAGACCACCATGTCAAAGCCTTCAAAGACTCTGTCCCAATCCCACCCAACCTGACTGCGATGCAATGGTTGTGAGTTCCTTTCTGGCTTGAACCTTCCGCGCCAGGTTGTAACTACGTGAAGTATTTCGTTCAGGAATCCGCGGGGATTCTTGCGGAAGAGTCTACAGACACCTCACTGAAGCCCTGTGATCTCAGTTGCCAGTCCTCTTCGCCACACAAGAACCCCTAATGCCGCAAGAGAGTGGGGGCTGTCAAAGGCATTCAACATTTGGGGTTCGTCACCAAACATCTGAAATCGCAAGTGGATCCAAGCTGCCAGCAGAAGGACAAACCAGGGTAGCCTGGCCAGCTGGTTGAGCAACATGAGGCGGAGAAGCTCCTGGGAGAAGCAAAAACCGGGTACTTACCACAGTGCTGCCGACTTTTTGTTTATGCTGGGTACGCATGCAACTCGGAAATCTCCACATATGACCTGGAAGCCCATTTTGTAGCTGAACTCTGAACCATTCTGAACACTTTCACATGACAAAAGCGATGCCAAAGACCTGCGAGGATCTGCGTTCTTCTCGGCACCTTGCTTTCCAGCAATGCAGAATCTGCCGACCACTTCAGCAGTGCTGTCGGCCCTGAGTGCACACGTACCGGGCAGTCTAGCTGAATCTAACAGGGACCGGAGACAACTGAAATTCTGTTCCCCACAGCATTAAGTCGGTCCGAGGCACAGAGCATCAGCCAGTCCACACGCTGCGGCCAGCACAACTGCCAGAATCGGCGTGGTTTCAGCGCCATCCTCGGTTTCTTCCAGAGCCTGCAGCATGGAGCTGATGCAGGACAAGAGCACCGCCAGGAGCGTAATGGTCTGCAGCACATCAGGCAGCTGTTTGGCACGCACGGCATCGAGGATGGCCACCCAAAGCAGCGATGTTCGCATCATGACGAAAAAGAGCGAGGAGCTCATCATCGTCACGGAAGCGTTCTGCAGTGCATACTTGGCTGCTCCAAATGGTCCTGGGATGAGGCACAAGAGGTACTTCTTGTTGGCCAACTTCTTGAAGCCATCCCAGCCATACTGGATGCGAAGGTGGATGGACAAGCCCACGACAGTTATGAGGGCCGACAACACCAGGGGGAGGTATTTGGAGAAGCTCGCGCGAGAGGCTGCGAGCTGAACACCAAATCCCGTGAAGGCGCTGGTCACCGGCACGGCGAGGAGCAGAAGTGCCAGCCAAGGCTGGAAACCAGCAAATGCTGGTCTCTCCGACTCCACGATTTCGATAATCGTCATCACGCGACTCAACCTCATTGACGACAGCCGTCTGCCAGGAGGAGGTTGTGGTGGCGGCTGCAAAGACAAGCTTGACAAGCTTTGTGTTGATGCCGTTCCTGAGCCCTTGCGCTCGAATCCCGCTGGCACTTGTTCCTCTGGCACTCCTGGAATGCTTGGACAACTCCTGTCTGGCATTCCTGTCTCCATGGCTGGACCTATCCGTGGATCACCTGAGTTACCTGGCGCAAATAAACAAATCTAACAAGCAGCCGGAAGCCGAAGTGGGCCGAGCGCCGTGCAAGGCTGCTTTGCACACAACCGCTCACACCTTACACAACCCCTCGGCCCCAAAGGCTTTTCACTACAGTGGACATGTGGACCACAGGCATGCTGAACACCCCTAAACTGCTAAACGCTCCAAGTAGGGACCCTGCCGTGCCTCTTCCCAGAGGCGGATGTCGGCACAGTCGGCGGAGTACGCCAAACATCGCCCGGCTGCGCTGCAGACCCTCACCGCCTGCACCGCCGCCCGCGATTCGCCTTTAGGGAAACAGTTAAACAGGTGTAGTGTAAAAAAAACCTCCGTGACATTAGGAAAAACGATCACGGTGTGCTTCCAGCAATTGAGCGGACCTTCTTCCTGCAGGACGTGCCACTTGCTCGGGAATTCTCCAATGCGGCCGCCCGCGGTGAGAAACCTTTTACAGAGGGTGAGTGCACTTACATGTTCCAGGGCGGGCTCTGTCGATCTCTTGGGCGAGGGCTTGGGCATCTTGGCCAAGGGGCCGAAAAGATGCTTGCGGCCAAGCGCTGGTGCAGGCGGCCTTTACAGGGAAACTTACTGTTCGTTCGTAGGGAATGGGGGAATAAGGTACCATGTATCCCCTATCTACGCTTTGAGGGACTAGGGTTTAAGGTTCAGTGTAGGGCGTTTAGGGTGTGTACACTGCCCGCCCCCCCCAGGCCCGCATGGGAGTGACAAAAAGACCTGAGAATTGAGGTTTTGGGCCTCCCAAAGCTCCAAAACCAGGGTCTTTCTGTCACTGCCCGCCCCCCCCCCCCCCCCGGGCCCGCATGGGAGTGACAAAAAGGCCTGAGAATTGAGGTTTTGGGCCTTCCAAAGCTCCAAAACCACTATCATTGTTAACCACGATCATGCCAACCCTAAACCACTTTCGTGAAACCACTATCATGCCAACCCTAAACCACTATCATTGTTAAAGAAACCCTTGTCATTGTAAAAACTTTTTTTCATGGTTAGAACCCCTACTCAGACCGAGTAGGGGTTCTAACCATGACAAAAAGTTTTTACAATGGTCTGAGGCGGGGTCGTAACCGCAATAAAGACTCTTTTTTTGACCACAACAAGGAATCACTTAACCATGATAAGGATTTGTGCCTCAGTGCATGATAGCCACAATGCCTGCGACCCTTCAACTACCCACAAAACGCCCCCGAAACCATTCTAAGCCCCAACCCCAAGCCCTAAAACGAAGCCCTGAGAATTGAGGTTTTGGGCCTCCCAAAGCTCCAAAACCAGGGTCTTCTGTCACTGCCCGCTGCCCCCCCCCCCCCCCCCCCCAGGCCCGCATGGGAGACCTGAAAATTGAGCCAGAACCAGGGTCTTTCTGTCACTGCTCGCGCCCCCGCCCCCCCCCCAGGCGTGACAAAAAAGACCTGAGAATTGAGGTTTTGGGCCTTTCAAAGCTCCAAAACCAGGGTCTTTCTGTCACTGCCCGCCCCCCTCCCGGGCCCGCATGGAAGTGACAAAAAGACCTGAGAATTGAGGTTTTGGGCCTCCCAAACTCCAAAACCAGCGTCTTTCTGTCACTGCCCGCCCCCCTCCCAGGCCTGCATGGGAGTGACAAAAAGACCTGAGAATTGAGGTCTTGGGCCTTTCAAAGCTCCAAAACCATGGTCTTTCTGTCACTGCCCGCTCCCCCCCCCCCAGGCCCGCATGGGAGTGACACAAAGACCTGAAAATTGAGGTTTTGGGCCTCCCAAAGCTCCTTTCTGTCACTGCCCGCCCCTCCCCCAGGCCCGCATGGGAGTGACAAAAAGACCTGAGAATTGAGGTTTTGGGCCTGCCAAGCCCAAAACCAGGGTCTTTCTGGTCACTGCCCGCCCCCCACCCCCCCCCAGGCCCGCATGGGAATAACAAAAAGACCTGAGAATTGAGGTTTTGGGCCTCCCAAAGCTCTAAAACCAGGGTCTTTCTGTCACTGCCCCCCCCCCTTCCCGGGCTGCATGGGAGTGACAAAAAGGCCTGAGAATTGAGGTTTTGGGCCTCCCAAAGCTCCAAAACCAGGGTCTTTCTGTCACTGCCCCCCCCCCTCCCAGACCCGCATGGCAGTGACAAAAAGACCTGAGACTTGAAAAACCAGGTCTTTCTGTCACTTATGCCCCGCACCCCCCCCCCAGGCCCACATAGGAGTGACAAAAAGACCTGAGAATTGAGGTTTTGGGCCTCCCAAAGCTCCACAACCAGGGTTGTCACTGCCCGCCGCCCCGCCAGGCCCGCATGGGAGTGACAAAAAGACCTGGGAATTGAGGTTTTGGGCCTGTCAAAGCTCCAAAACCAGGGTCTTTCTGTCACTGCCCGCCCCCCCCAAACCTGCATGGGAGTGACAAAAGCTCCAAAACCAGGGTCTTCTGTCACTGCCCGCCCCTCCCCCAGGCCCGCATGGAAGTGACAAAAAAGACCTGAGAATTAAGGTTTTGGGCCTCCCAAAGCTCCAAAACCAGGGTCTTTCTGATCTTTCTGTCACTGCCCCCCCCCCCCCCCACCCCGCATGGGAGTGACAAAAAGACCCTGAGAATTGAGGTTTGGGGCCTCCCAAAGCTCCAAAACCAGGGTCTTTCTGTCACTGCCCCCCACCCCCCCCAGCCCCGCATGGGAGTGCAAAAAGACCTGAGAATTGAGGTTTTGGGCCTCCCAAAGCTCCAAAACCAGGGTCTTTCTGGTCACTGCCCGCCCCCCCCCCAGCCCGCATGGGAGTGACAAAAAGACCTGAGAATTGAGGTGTTGGGCCTCCCAAAGCTCCAAAACCAGGGTCTTTCTGTCACTGCCCGCCCCCCCCCCGGGCCCGCATGGGAGTGACAAAAAGGCCTGAGAATTGAGGTTTTGGGCCTTCCAAAGCTCCAAAGCCACTATCATGTTAACCACGATCATGCCAACCCTAAACCACTTTCGTGAAACCACTATCATGCCAACCCTAAACCACTATCATTGTTAAAGAAACCCTTGTCATTGTAAAAACTTTTTTTTCATGGTTAGAACCCCTACTCGGTCTAGAATCCCTTGAACTCATGGAGGCCGGGCCTCCAGGGCGTAGCTGACCCCTTCGTGTGGGCGGAGTGGTGTGTAGCCATTCGGAGACGGCCAGAGGCACAGGAAGCACACGAGGTGCGCACACAGCATGCTTGGGGGGCTTTGTTCTCGCTTGCTTTTCAGGGCTTCGAGGCTTAGAGGTGGGTTCGCTGTCGGCTCATCCCCCGAAAGAGAGGGCCACTGCTGAAGGGCTCGGGGTCCAAGGACTTTCGACCCCAGGCTTGTGCCATCTCAGAAGCCAGCTTGCTTCAAGCCAAAGCCCAACAGGATGCCACAAGCCAAGAACTGTAAACCCGGCATTCCCCAAGAGTCGTGGCCATTGGAAGCACTTCCAAACACCCCCAACTTCCCCAAACTCCTTCAAAAATTCCCTAAACTCCTCAACCCCCGCCTTAAGCCCCCAAACCCTGAACTGAACCGAAACCCCCCACCGGAGCTCAGGAGACGGAGAGTTCGAATGTTCATCTTCGGAGCCTGGTCGCTCAGCGCGGAGATGAGCTTCAACTGCGTGGCGGCTCGAGGGCAATGGGCGAAATGGCCCTTTGGTGTGAGGATTCAATTCTAGCACAATCAAAGCACGACTGCAACGAAGCAGGAGATCTAAATCGTGGTACCCTTACGTCTTCTTCAACGTGCTTTCAAAGCAGCTGCTGGGTCCACACATTGAAGGCAGATGGCAACTAAGACGTAGCATGAGGCTGCAGCATGATGTAGGATGCACGCTGCTACTCACCCATGCTGGCGCCTTGTGCTTCGACTGGAAATCCTCTCAAAGATGTGAGCGAGATGGTATGTTTCTGCGCGAGTCATGGGTCTACTGAGTAGCCTCCATACCTTCCTGGATCTCGCCGAACCTTCTGCCCATCGAACCCACCAAGAGAACACCAGGTCGGCCTGCAGTTCGCGCGGGACCTGCTGGATGTCACCTGCACGCCCCAAGCTGAAGCGCTGCAAGTCTTCCGGACGAAAGGCTGTTAACAAATGTTAACAAGATACTTTGGGGTGTCTTCACGTGTCTGTCTGTCTGTCTGTCTGTCTGTCTGTCTGTCTGTCTGTCTGTCTGTCTGTCTGTCTGTCTGTCTCTGTGTGTGTGTGTGTGTCTGTCTCTGTGTGTGTGTGTGTGTGTGTGTCTGTCTCTGTGTGTGTGTGTGTGTGTCTGTCTGTCTGTCTGTCTGTCTGTCTGTCTGTCTGTCTGTCTGTCTGGCTGCCTGCCTGCCTGCCTGCCTGCCTGCCTGCCTGCCTGCGTGCGTGCGTGCGTGCGTGCGTGCGTGCGTGCGTGCGTGCGTGCGTGCGTGCGTGCGTGCGTGCGTGCGTGGGTGTGTGTGTGTGTGTGTGTGTGTGTGTGTGTGTGTGTGTGGGTGTGGGTGTGGGTGTGGGTGTGGGTGTGGGTGTGGGTGTGGGTGTGGGTGTGTGTGTGGGTGTGGGTGTGGGTGTGGGTGTGGGTGTGGGTGTG